ATATTTAACTTTATAAAGAATGACAAATAGTTCTCTAAAATGTTCCTTCCAGCAATGTGTGAGAGTTAAAGTTGGGCCACATCCTTGTCAACATTTATTATTGTTGGTGTTTTTATACTTTAGCTACTCTAGGAAGTGTAAAGTGGTAGTTACTATACCTTCACAAAGGATCACATATCACAGCATCTGCACCCTAGAGGAACTGCTATCGATGGCCTGTCTCTACCTTCCCTGCCTCTCCAACAGTGAGCACTGCAAAGTTCCTCTCCCAGGTTCAATTACAGAGAGGCACAAAGCTAGGAAGGTTCTCATTTTAGAAACTTCAGGGGACACTCCCGAACTCTGGATGTTTTCAATTTTACACAATGGGTACACTATTACACCTCACAACACTTGAAACCTGTGAGGAAGAGGGAACAGCCTGTCTTTCTTTGAGGAGCTGGACGTCTATTTAATCCATGCAGCATCATTTGGTCTAAGGCAAAGAGTTCATCCTTAAGTTTGGGATGTTTACTCCAGTTATTTAAAATTTCCAAGCCTTTCAGGAGGACCTGCTCAGCACTGACAAGTTGTATGAATATCTTTTTGGTCAACAAATAACACAGTACATTCAAGAGTATAGGCACCATGTATGCACCCTCAAATAAGTGGATTTGAAATCAGTGGCACATAAAAAACAAACAAATCAAGCTAAATATGTAGATTATGAAACAGTGCAAAGCCTTGCAAATTAAACAATTAGACAAAAATTGCATAATTGTAAATCTGGTACCTAAGTGACTAATAAGCTGTGTTTGCAAAATGTTGTCTGCACCGCTGTGACTGACAAGGGATGTCCTGCATCCTTAATTAGTGTATTATAAAGAAGTGGTTTATGTGCACTGGAATGTCTGCACCATATTTTTATGACTCATATGCTATCACTTTTTGTTTTTTTATCATATAACCAGGTTATCTATTTGTTCACTAGGAGATACCACTAGCAACTGAAGAAAACACACCCAAAATTCAATTACTTTGAAACAGAAATCAGCTATGATTCAAAATTTTTCTTTAAAGCTTTGATTACACAATAGCTTATATTTCTACAAACTTCAACATATGTCAAGTTCTTCTAAAAACATTTTGTACATACTAACTCATAATTTTGGAACAATCCTATAAAGTAGGTGCTCTGATTATCGCCATTTTACAAATGAAGAAACTTATCTCCAGAAGATTTAAATAATTTCCCAAGTTCATACAATTATTAATGAGGGAAGAGGCAAGATTTATATTCAAGGAGTCTGGCCCCAAAGTCTAGTACGTATATGTCCTCTTATTTATATATTTATCTATTCTATCAAAATGATTATGGATTTGTGTGCTCCAAGACAATATCCCTATTATCACTATATTATATTTACTCCTGTTGGAATAAAACATGAAATTATTTAAGATCCTTTGTAGCCAATGTTAGCAATGACTGTCTGACAGCTCCTTGGAAGCAGCAGCAAAATGGGTTATGGATCTCAGGTCCATTTCTACTAGCATGAGTCCTCTTCAGGAAACAGAATGCAGCAAATCACCAAGAAGATTATACACCATGACCAAGTGGAATTCATCCCAGAAATGCAAGGATGGTTCAGCATATGCAAATCAATAAATGTAATGCAGTGCATCAACAAAGCCAAAGATAAAACATAACATGATCATCTCAATAGATGCAGAAAAAGGTTTTGACAAAGTCCAACACCCAGTCAAGATTTTAAAAAATAATTTTAAAGAAAATTGGAATAGATGACTTTTAATTTCAATCTGATAAAATCCATCTATGACAAAACAACAATCAACATCACACTGAATGGACAAAAACTGAATGCTTTCACTCTAAAATCAGGAACAAGACAAGGATGGCCACTACCACCACTCCTACTCAATTTGGGGATTTTCTCCCCCTTGGCTCGTTCTGTCTGCTTTCAGGGCAGGTCTGGTGCAGCTTGTGGATCTGGGGATTAAACCACAGTCCCCTGTGCCTGACTGCATTTGTCCAGGCGGGACTTTGAACAACTGAGCTAACCA